GTTCTGATACTGAAGACAGAGTCTTTCCTCATCCACATTTAGAAACTGACTCACAGCTGAATAGGCAGGGGGATAGAATGGCACTTGTGAAATCACAATTATTTTTCGGGGCCCCTGGGTGGCTCAGTCAGTTAAGCCTCCGACTCTTCGTTTTGGCTCACGTTATGATCTCACTGATCATGAGTTCGAGCCCTGCATCAGGCTCTGCTCAGATGGTGCAGAGCCTACTTGGGATTCTCTTTCCCTCTCTGTCTGTCCCTCCCCTGCCCGCTCCCGCTCTCAAAATAAACAAATAAATTAAAAATGAATAGTTACTAAAAGAAATTGCATGTATTTTTTTTTACTTTATAAATAAAAAAAACTTCCTTTTTGTATTTAGGTTATTTTTCCCAGTTTGCTAAAAATGGAAGCCTGGTTCAGTCTTTCCTTGTGCCCTGTCTTCCCTCACATTAGTCAGTCCTATGATTTGTTTAAAAGGAAAGTGCAACCTGTAGAAAACAGCCTGAAGCAGCAGGAGGAGAAAACTTTGAACAGCTGTCTGGTGCCTTGCCAAGGGGCAAAGCTCTCGCGTTGGATAAAAACCATTTTTCTCCTCTCGTCCGTCGCTTCCCACTACACTACTAAAGGCCCTATACAAACACATAGATGTGCCAAGCACAACACGGTCACACCTAGCCAGCTGTGCAGCCGGCCCTGAGATTGCTGCTGTTGGGTCACCCTTTCCTTTCACGGCACGCCTGGGCAGGTCTCTTCTGAAATACCCTTGTGCTGGTATTGTTTCCAGCAAGATACTCACATTTTAAAATTTTGGTAACAGCTCTCTCTCTCTCTCTTTTTTTTCTTTCCAAAATTTTAAACTATCTTAAGACTTTTTCAACTTGACAGGTAGAGAAACAGATAAGTTCCCTAACTTATTTCCTATAGGCCCTGGGGTAGTGGAAATCAGGGAAATGTTAGAAAGCTGGAGGCAGAAATAAATGGTCCTCTACCGTATAGTCAGAGGGGCTGTGTTAATATGTAGAAATTAAAAGGACATACATACGGAGAAAAATTCGCTAGATTTTTAATACCTGAGATGTAGCTAGATACCTAGCTTCAAGAGGAACATTCTCTAGGGTTTGGGGAGGAAACGGATTGATATGATCATTTACTTCAGATGCACCATTTCCCCACACTTTCTCTTTTTCCTTTATAGGATTTTTCTTTCCTACTTTACTCTCCTACCTGCTCCGGTCGCTTGGCATCTCTGGTTGTTTTTAAATCTGTGTGCCTCACAGCTATATGATATCAAAGGGGAAATCTCACTGTTTTTAATGTGCTAAAATAACAATATTTGGTTCAAATGGTACTCTCTTCAACCTCAGGGAGTAACTCTACCAAATCACTTTCATTTGTGAAAGCAATGTGGAGACGCAGACCTCGGAGATCACACACAGCAACGTAACGGATAAAGATCTTATCCAAACACTGGCAGCATGCCAGAAGGAAAAACTGCCATAGGGGGGAAAAATACATTTCCAAAGGTCATTTTATAATAGTCAACAGAAACCAGGTTTTCCTTCTCATCTTTTTTCTTTGATTTTATTACACTTAAACCTTTCCGTCAGAGGTGAGCAAAGAGGAAAAGCCTCACGTTTGCTTCTTGGCTAAATTGTTCCCATTTCATTCATCCATACTTTTCTCATATTAAAATTTCTAATTATTTGAAAATTTGATATCAAAAAGTGGATTGAATGTCATGATATTTCTTTTGAAAATTTGGCTGCTTGCATAACTATAGTTGCAAAGGCAAAGGAAAAGAAGATCTTAAGCTGGAGGGCTGTTTCAAAAATGTGATGCAAGCAAAATCATGCTTTTGCTCTGATTTTAATGATAGGCCAACCAGATTTTACCGCAGGCAGTATAAGCTATAAGCCCACTATAGTCTCCTTTGGCGGGGCCTCCAACATGCAGCCTGTAATTGGGCAAGAGCTTTGTATCGTTTGAGCTCCACATCCATTTTGACTTGCAGCTTAATCTATTTAATATAGGGTTCCTTCCATTATCGACTTGAGAGATTCCACTTGTCTGAAGGCTAAGTGCTAGAAACAATGACTGAAGACATTCAGCTCTTCAGACCAACATCCAGTTAACAATAAGCTAAGTAATTGCCAAATAGCTAATATTCTGCGTCTCTTTGGTGCAGACCTGGGAAAAATAAAGAGATTTCAGGGAAAGATTAATTTTTTTAAGATCAGACATGCAAGGGGCGCCTGGGTGGCTCAGTCGGTTAAGTGACCGACTTCGGCTCAGGTCATGATCTCTCGGTCCGTGAGTTCGAGCCCCGCGTCGGGCTCTGTGCTGACCGCTCAGAGCCTGGAGCCTGTTTCAGATTCTGTGTCTCCCTCTCTCTGACCCTCCCCTGTTCATGCTCTGTCTCTCCCTGTCTCAAAAATAAATAAGACGTTAAAGATCAGACATGCAAGAATTCTGTAAAAGATAGAAATATTCTTACATTACTAATGGAAAATCATTAACAAAATCTTTTAGTACAACTTCTTTGATATTTCTTCCAATTTAATGACCCATTATGATTTTATTCCTATAAAGTTGGAGGTAAGGGCCATATGTTGTGGCTAACTTCGGTATCTTTAATTCCCTGAGAACGATCCTCTGGAGGTTCAGGATTTGAGAAGCACAGTTTGAAGCCTTGACAAGATTCTAATTAGCGCCTGGTGTAAATGGCTCAGTTTTGTAGAGATTGTGTTTCCACCTTGTGTAAAAATTAAAACAGGGAAAAGTAGCACTTTCTTTAAGACTTTCTCCTGTATGTCTGCAACATAGAGCCAAAGTTTGCCATTCCAAAGGAATGTTAGCCCATGAAGAATTCAAATGTAATAGCAGCATTGTTCTGAGTTAGCTTTTTGAATTACAGTATACAGGAATCATAAAATAAATCTGATATGTGGAAAGTTAAATATTTGCCTGAAAAAAATCTAATTATAAAGCAATTCTTTATATTCTTTGGATAAAGGCACATCACGTTCATTCAATTTGTACTAGTGTGAACATTTGTGTCTTACCACCAGGGGGCAGCGTATGCTAACTATTGAATTAGTGAACACTAAAAGGCAAAGGAGAGACAATTTGAGACAGAAGTGAAAAATTCCCTGAATGGTTTCTTCACAGATCCTTTAGGGAAAGAGCTGTTGAATTGTTCACAGTGTAATTTTCACACCAGTTATATAAAAAAAAAAAGAAAAACAACAACTAATTATGATGTAAAACTATTAAAGCTCTTTTACAAGTAATTTTTATGACGTGGTGATTTGTTCCATTTAATTTTTAATAATCATGGGTTGAATTTAAAACTGCAATCTTAAATGAATTAAAAGAAATTGAAAATAATGGTTTCTCATATATTCCCATGTTTATAAATCGCTTTCTTCATAATTATTTCAGCTCAAATTTCATGTAGCTTCATAGGAAACAAATTCACTGTGGAAGCTTTTGAAAACACAGAAAATTAGATATAATTTACAATTTTTTTTTGAGAAACTTTGAGAAGGTTGAATAGGCAAGGATAATCTGTTTCGCTAGGTTCCCTTTGGTGACCATTAGCCATTTCTCCTGCCAACAAGTAAAGACAGTTGCTTTTTGAGATCTGAAGTTAATTCAGGGGGATAACAGTTCAAAAGGCAACAGAAATATCTAGCATAGGGGTTTTATATTCAGCTTTCTGAGGCCAGAATTTTTGGAAGAAAGGACAATTGTCTTGGGATTGAAATTACAAATTTTCACTTGTGCCAGTGCAGCTGAAAAGAGTATTTCAAAAGCAGAAGCCCAACTGGGCAGAGATAAAGTACTTAAAATGTAGACAAATTTTTGAGGTATAGTTGACATATTAGTTTCAGGTATGCAAAGTGATGATTTGATGTTTGAATATCTTGAAAAACATACAGTAAGTCTAGTTAACATACATCACCATACATAGTTACAAAATTATTTTCCTTGTAATGAGAACTTTAAAGATGTATTCTCTTAGCACCTTTCAAATACACAGTACAGTGTCATCATGCTACCCACTATTTCCCATGACTTAATTTTTTTTATAACTGGACATCTGTACCCTTTGACCCCCTTCACCCTTGTAACAACCCTCCCACTCCTTGTCTCTGGCAACCAACCACTGATCCGTTCTTTGTATCTGTGAGTTTGGTGTTTTTGTTTTTAAGATTCCACATATAAGTGAGGTCATATGGTATTTGCCTTTCTCTGTCTGACTTATTTTAAGCATAATGTGCTCATGGTGCATCCCTGTTGTCTCAAATGACAAAATTCCATTCTTTTTTTGGGGGGAGGGGTGAAAAATATTCCCCTGTAATCATTAAAATAACTTTGAGAGAGAAAACTGGATTTAAATATATTCAAGGTAAACTGATATGCCCCGATTCGAGAGTCCCCCCGAAAACAAACCACCAGAGTCCAGAGTCAAAGCCAAGCGGCAAGGGTCGTTTATCGCAGGTTCGAACCCGGTCCTCGGCACACTCGTTGCCGGTGAGGCTAAGAGGCCCTGAGCGAGGATCTTACAGCTTCTTTTATAGACAGGCACAAACAAGTTAGCATTTTTCGAGGTTACAGAGCTGTTATTGGTTGACATTTAAATTTGAACGCTCAGCAGAACTTGATTGGTTCCCGCCTTTATTTCAAACCATTCAGCAGAACTTGATTGGTTCCCGCCTTCATGTCAGACTACAACCGGGCGTGCCCTGGCTGGATTCGGGAATGGCGGCGGGGGGAGGGGAAAGATCTTTTCTTTGCAGTTGTGAGTATACCTGGTAACTTTTCTCTTAGCCTCTCATAAACTATGTTTATTGACAAGCATATGTGATTCCATATTGATCCTGTTCACCATTCCTTTCATATTGTCAATAATAAGCCTTAAAAACTTTATTATAAGTAAATATAAGTTCCTCAGCTGTATGAACAATGTCTTTACTTCTCTACTCATTTCTTTTCAGTGTCCAAGCAAAACCTATGATCCACTGATTAAATCCACCCGAGATTTTCCTGATGATGTCATCAGTTTCATAAAGCGGCACCCTGTGATGTTTAAATCGGTGTACCCAGTTGCGGGAGGACCAACATTCAAGCGAATCAATGTGGATTACAGATTGACCCAGATCGTGGTGGATCACGTTGTTGCAGAAGATGGACAATACGATGTAATGTTCCTTGGAACAGGTATGCTAGACCCAGATGATGCTTTCTTTCAAAGGAATTTTTCACTATTAGACAAAGGAAGCAAAGACTTCAAAAAGATTATTGGTTGAAATCAAAATGAGTAATTATTAGCTGATATCTAGTCACTGTTTCTTAACATTGCATAACACATGCTTTTAATTGACAGTTATAAATATCTCCCAGCCTCCTTTAGTGGTATTTGAGATTTCAAAATATATTTGTATGTTATGACTATAACATGCCTGCTTAGATTAGGTGCTCAATACATATTTGTTGAATGATTATGGACTAAAATTAAACAAGTACAGCTAAGCAATGTTTATTTTCAGACTCCACATTTTTTTCTCTCTGGGGAGATATTTGATTCCCTGCCCCCCGCCCCCAGCCCCGCAAAAGATCCCTTCACTCAATTTTGAGAATCATTGACTGAGTTGACTTAAATGGCTTTTCAAAAAATTAAGCAATACTTTGTAAAGATCTTTAAGTAGAAACTTCCTGGAGATTATTTTTCCTATCCTTGAATTTTGTGGATTAAGTATCACTTTCATTATTAGAGACTATTTTATTTATTTTTTTGTCAACTCAGTCATTATAAAATGATTTAAAAAATATTTTCCAGAAAAAGAAATATTGCTTATTTAGTATGCCTCAAAAAAAGAAAGAAAAAGGAAATAGAAAATATCATCTAATGATACATGCATTCTAATGACAGTAAAGGTAACATGCATCATTGAGATAAAAGCACTTCATCCTGGAAAATGTTATGTGATTTAATGAATCAGGCATTGAGTAAAGAAATCAAAATTAATGTGTTTTCAAGAAATGGGCATTTTTTTTTATTGAAATAGGTTTTCAGAACTACAGAACAGTTTTATTTTTCAAAAACATACTGTTTTTGAAAAAAAAAAAAAAAAAAAAAAAAAAAAAAAAAAAAAAAAGAAGAAGGCTCAGAGCCTGGAGACTTCTTCAGATTCTGTGTCTCCTCTTTCTGCCCCACCCCTGCTCATGTTCTGTCTCTGTCTCTCAAAAACAAATAAACATTAAAAAATTTTTTTTAATAAATACATTGAAAAAAAGTAGAGTTTATTAGGGAACGTGCATGTGACAGACTTAGAGCGTTTTCAGAATACCTGTTGCCAAGCCTGATTATGCTGCAGATGGCAATAACAAGACATAGGAAAGTAAGTGATGTTCTCAAGACTGTAGAGATTACTACAGAAGCAGACCAAGTAAGTACAGTAAAACCTTGGATTGAGAGTAACTTGTTCTGCGAGTGTTCTGCAAGACGAGCAAACATTTCTAATAAACTTTAACTGGATAAACAACTGATTTCTCGCAATACGAGTTACTACCTGATACCAAATGCCGTGTGATCACAACTGAGCCAATGGTTCTTAAAATTTGCTTAGATATATGAGTGCTTTGGATTACAAGCCTGTTTCTGGAATGACTTATGCTCACAAACCAAGGTTTTACTTTAATTAGTCTGTCACTAATTCTAAGGAGTTTGCTACTGAATTTGCGCTGTCCACCCAAAGCGTTCCTAGGTCAACACTTCGCTGTCATAAATGCCATTCGGCCACTAGGTGGTACTACCTAACTTTGACTGAGAAAATTATAAGGTAACTAAGATAGATGGATCGATTTTCAATTATGACATTTGGAAAATGTATATTTTATATTTTTTCAAAGATCCTAGAGTCCTTTAAAAACCGAATTAAATATTTCAGACTATTTTGGGCAAATAGGATCATTACTATCCATATTAAAATTCTTCAACCACAGTGCCAGAAGCTTAAAAGCATCTATATTGTATAAATTAATTTCCAAATGAGATTTTTTTTCTCCTTCTAAAATGTTCTTTTGATTGTCTTTCTGTAATAAATAGCATGTCACCTTGTAAACTGCAATAGAAGATCCTGTATTTAAGGCATCTTTACTAAATGTCAATTTTTGGTTTATAGTCTTTTAAATTTTGGTTACTCTTAAATTAAACCAAAATAATTTTAAACAAAACTTCAGTTTCCAGCCTATTAGTAAAGTTTCTGTAAATAAAATATGTTGGTGAGTGAGTTAAAATTCCCCCCATGTAGATGGCTTCAGTGGTTTCTCTTCCCTTTGTTAACATTATTTAACAATGTATATATCTTACCTTTCGCCGTAACTTAGATGTGATAAGCACTGAATAAATATCTCTTACATTGAGAGAGAGAGAGAGAGAGAGAGGAAAAAATATTTTAATATATCTTAACCTTTTAAATTCAGTTACAAAAATATCATTCCACTTTAGTTATAAAATCAGCCATTATTTGAATGAGACACACATACTCCTTCTGCTCGAAAGATCTTTGAGTGCATGTCTTTTAATGTCTTCCTTATAAATATGTGTTTTATGAGTTAAAAACTATCATGTTTCGGAAGGAGGGAATCATATCCATTAAGCTTCACTTCTTGTGTGCCTTGTTGAATCTGACTTTTCCAAAGGCTTTGAAAGAAAAAGGAGGGAACAGTTGTGAAGGTTGCTAGGCATATACTTAAAGGAGAAACAGCAGGATTATAGGTCATGTGTTTTTTCAGACATTGGAACAGTCCTAAAAGTTGTCAGCATTTCAAAGGAGAAGTGGAATATGGAAGAAGTAGTGCTGGAAGAGTTGCAGGTATTCAAGGTAAGACAGTCCAGAGTTCCAGAAGAGATGGGGACACTTAGTAGTCCTTGATACAGGACAGTGTGTTTTAATACATCGTCGCTTTTCCTAGAGAAGTCTGTGCAATTAGCTCCCTTATTTTCCTTTTCCTTAAGCAACGGAAAAAAGTTTTTCAAGCAACTGAGAACAGGACTCCTCTCTCCCCGTAGAATACCACTAAAATCAGGGCTCCTGGGATGGCCGCTCATTACTTTGTTCTCTAAGCATATGGTCAGACAAATCGCCACAGTGGATGAAAGCCCGGGGTCTGGGGTCTCTGACTACCCAGATGCTTTTCTACTTTAAACGGTTGACTTTTCAATTTTTCCTCCATTGAATTGGAGAAAACTGGAAGAGTGTGTAAATCACATGTCCCTGCTTTTCCGTAAGGAATCTTTTTTAAACAAGGTTGCATGATAGTAAAGCCTTGATGTATGCTACGTCCCTCTAGAGAGCTAGATCTAAAATAATAATTTTCTAGATTTGGGGAATGTCTTTGACTTTTAACAATACATTTGAGCTGTGGTATTCTCTGTAGATGCTCAGTGACATTTAGTTCAAAATTATTTTCTGAAAGTAACATTAGAAATAAAAGTGTATTTCTGACAGGAGCCTTGACAAATATGTTCTGTCTTTTATAACATTTTTGTTGAGATAGTTCATTAAAATGGGCTGTTTCCCTGTGAACATCTATTGCCTTAAAAAAAAAAAAATCAAGTAGAGACCCCCACTGTGAGGAACTCAAGGTAATTAACATGCTGAGTTCCACAGGATCCTGTTTACATTGTGATGATAATAGTGGTCAAGGAGTTAACAAGAACAAGATCTGCTATCTGGCATCTACCAAAAACAAAGTCTTGGGTGGTTCCTGAGGGAAAAACTGATGTCAAATCTAAATGTGAACCCAGAAGCCAAATATGAAGCTCCCACAATATATAAGGTGCATTAAAATAAGTTTTACTTAATGGTGGTTAGTGGTCAAGAGGAATTATTTGGATTCCATTGTGAAGATTAAATAATGAACCTGTGTCCTTCATTTAAAAAAAAAAAAAAAGTTTTGGGATAGCACGTTCTCATTTTAACATTTTTCTTTCATTTTTTTGCTTCATGTATTTTCTTAAATTTTTGGTATCTGCTACCGTTTATCGGTTTGTAAATACTGGCTGGTGAGAAACGAATGGACAGTAAATAGATGATAAGTAGATGAAAAATTCTTAAAGATTCCATCCTTTTTAGTTTGCTAGCTTCTGTGTTCATGTTTCTAATTTTCTATTGCATGCATAAAGCCATAGTTTCAACAAGTAAAGCAAGTCCTAGTTCATATCACGGAATCTTGTGCATCGGTAGCTTGCCATGTTCCATAAAGAATATGCTCATCCACAAAGAACACTATAGCTTTTCAGAACTCTGCTACTTGAACAAGTTTTTCAACTACCGATCTAAGTAAGAGCAGAACTAGGTAATAAATAATTATGGAGATGTTCTTGTCAACACTAGTTTGAATTATATGGAAGCAGTTAAGATAAGCAGATTTAGAAGGAGAAACCTTGTGGGTAACTGGGAGCGATTTCCAATGCACAGTGTTTCCTCATACACTTAGATAGTTTTTCTGTAATAAGATACTTTAAAGGAACTATTTTGATCCTTTCTATTAAGGTAGAATTAGAAGGAAAGAACAAATGTTAAGATTCTTTCCCCCTCTATATAACAGACCCTTGAAGTTTTCTTCAGTGATCTTTGGTACGTGACAAGAGAACATATTGGCTGCTATAAAAGACTCTTAATGATTATCTTTATTAACATTTGATTTTTATTTTCAGCACTCATCGATCATCCTGAACATGGAGTTGTCTCTGAAGCAGGTACTTTCTAATTTTTCTGTAAAAATTAGCCACAAAAGCAACAGGCTGCTTGAATTTATTTTAGGGAAACTCTATTGATATTGGAAGTTAAATTATAAATAATGTAAAAAGCTTTAAATTGTGTGTTTCTTTCATACCCAATTAGAGGCCAGTGTTGTAGGCTTGCCTTAGGAAAAGTAGAACCAAATATCATTACTTGAATGATAGATATTCCCCTTCCCTTGGCTCTTGAAAACTGAGCTCACTTTCTTTGTTTCATGAGGATGTGTCTCTGTCAAGGCCATAAGAAGTTCATGTAGAATACTAACCATAATCACGAAAAATGGTTTTTAATCAGGGAGTCTAGAAATTACACTATGGACGATGGTGGCAAAGAGCCCGAGAGTCAACTGCCGGCCTTCCACTTAGTATCTGACTCTGGGAATCAATTTCCTTAACAGAGAAATTAGGGAAATAAAATCCACCACCTAATAAATAGGATGCTGCACACAAAATTTGAGACAAAGAGTTGGCACATCGTAAGTGTGAAGTAAATGGTATCTGATGACAATGACAATAATAATATTTAATAGATCATAAGTTCTCAATATGATACTCTAAATCCCAATTAACTCAAGAGGTTCAGGCTTGTATTAGCATTTGTGTATGTACCCCCAGGATAAAAAAATTATGGGATAATATGCTTAATTTTTTTAATATAATTTATTGTCAAGTTGGCTAACATAAAGTGTATACAGTGTGCTCTTGGTTTTGGGGGTAGATTCCCGTGATTCATAGCTTACGTACAACACCCACTGTTCATCCCAACAAGTGTCCTCCTCAATGCCCATCACCCATTTTCCCCTTTCCCCCCTAACATTGTCTTCATCTATGTGGCTAGTAATGACACAGAAACTAATAGGGAAAAGATCTAAATAGATTTCTTATTTGATCTTTTCCATTAATTTTTTTCACTGAATGTTTAGTTCTTAAAGGCCTACTACTACCCTTGGAGGGTATAGAAATGAACGAATGGCATAGTCCTTCACTTAGAAGCTCACAGTGGAGCTGGGAGACATAGAAAGAACACGCTACCAATGCAAAACAATAATGGAAGCCTGTACAGGGAAAACACAGGGGAGGAACTGGTCTAAGAGGAAGCCAGGTAGAGCAGAGGAAGGAAGTGAAAAGAACAGACGTGTGGGGCGTGGGTGGCTCAGTCGATTAAGCATCTGACTCTTGGTTTCGGCTCAGGTCATGCTCTCACAGGTTCATGAGATCAAGCCCTGCATCAGGTTCTGCACTCACAGCGTGGAGCCTGCTTGGAATTCTCTCTCTCTCCTTTTCTCTTTGCCCCTCCCCCCCCTCAAAATAAGTAAATATACATTAACCAAAAAGAAGAGACATGTAACCTGAACTACGAAGGATGTTGCAGTTAACCGGTTAAATTAAAAAGGGGATGGGAAGAGGAAGCCTATGCCAAGGAAAAAAGGAGAACATTTGGAAAGGTGTGAGCGGTGAGAAATCATAGCTTATTCTAATAAGTTTGTGAACAATTAGAGCAAAGGGCATATGTGTGTGCAAGGGGCAAGGAGGCTAGAAATGATTCTGGGACATAAAACAGAGCAAGATTAGGTACATCCTTATATGTCTTCCTAAGAAGTTTAACAGTTTTATCTGAGGACAACGAAAACCTTTAAAGATCTTCAGCAGGAATGTGTTGTGATAAGCTTTTCCTTTTAGGAAGGTCAGTCTGCTGTGGCAGAGCGGAAGATGGATCGAGTCCTGGGGTAGAGGTGGGGGTTGTCGGAACACGAGGCTGAAGCCAGTGGAAATATTAGAACACTTATAAGTAATCCAGGGAAGAAACAATAAAGACAGACAAAAGTGTTGGCAGTGGAGAGGGAGAGGAGGAGATAGAGAGTTCTGTGTAAGAGAATGGAAAAGACACGGTGGCTGACTAAGAGATAAAGGGGATTCAGAGACAACTCCCAGCTTTGTGTCCTGGGTGACAAAGCTAGGGTAGCAGGGCTAGATTTAGGGCAATCCAGTATGTCAACCTTGACGTTGTTTTCAAGATGCACCTGACGCTTTATACAATAAGACAGGCAAAGAAATGAGGATAGAAAAGAGGGGGCACCTCACGTTTAATGCAAAGAAAGGAATCCTCAAAGGAGACAGAAATCTTAGGCAGAAATAAAGACAGAGAACAAGAAAAAGTTGACGGTCAAGGGAGGCATGATTCTTGGTGTTAGACACTTTGGAGAATTGAAGTAAAGCAAATACTGAACTGGGTGCATTGCATTTAGCAGCTAGGAGGTCTTAACTGACATTTTAATAGGCAGGGCAGGTAGAAGATAGATGTCTGTAGATTGAGTACGTGTATTTATTTATGTCAACATTTACTTCTCAGGTTTTTCCCCTTTGTGTAAAGTCTGATATGGCCCGCTGTCGTTGACCATGAGTTCACTGAAGGCACAGACTCTGGCTTAGTTATTCGTATCCTCCCTCTCCCTACGTCTTCCACCACGTACGCTCAGCGAATGCTCATAAAGAGCAGTGCATTGTTTTCAGAACATATTTCCAAAATGCACCTTTATATGCTGAGTTGTTTAGTATCCTGCAGCCTTTCATTGGTGATATGGCATCTTTCGAGCCTCCTTAATACTTCCTTCACAGTGATACCAAGCATTTTCTCTCCAGCTTATAACCCATTTCCCTTCAGGGATCAAGAGGTATTTCATTAGCAAATGAAATGGTTCAAACCACAAGAAAGTTTCATAAATCTCTTTTCAGCCGTCTCTCACGCAAGAAGCCACAGCAGCGGAAGACCATCAGTGTTGCCCATCACATCTGTGCTTGATATAATCTACCAAAGCACATTTTCAACCATTGAGAAAGAATTTGACGTCTTAATTCCTCAGTCTAGCAGCTGGGTTTCGACCTTCTTAAATTACTGGCCAAGGTTATCCTAGCTCTCTAGAATGCTGTCCATTTCGGTATCAACATCTTCAAACCGCCATGCTGCCAGGAGTAGAAGTGATCGACTCGTCTTACTCTTTGTTATGTTTCTGTACAACTGCTTATTTTCTGTACAAGGGCACCCGAGGAGACAGATTTAGATCTGTGATGTGGTATTCAGGAAAGGGAAGTTCTTAAGACTGGTCTGAAAGATGCTTCTAATTCATTTGTTTTGCCTGATTTGTAGCAACAATTGTACGTCGGTTCCCGGGATGGATTGGTTCAGCTCTCCTTGAACAGATGCGACACTTATGGGAAAGCTTGTGCAGACTGTTGCCTGGCCAGAGACCCCTACTGTGCCTGGGATGGAAATGCATGCTCTCGATATGCGCCCACTTCAAAACGGTAAGAGGCACATGGAGTGAAGGTGAAGCCTTCTTTTCTACCCAGCGACTATCTCACCGGAATACCTTGTCTTCTAGTTTAAATTAAAGACGATTTAATTGTAGAAAACATGGTCTCTGGTAAGAATGTTAAAATTAAATTTTGCATAAAACTAAATGTTGAAGGAGCATGAAATCGAGTGTTCTGAAGTGCCGAAATGTGGAACTTGAAAAAGTTCTGAAAAATTGTTTACATGCTTTTCCTTCATCTCTATTAAATACCATTAAAAGTTGGTTTTTCTCGACTACTTTGCCCTTCCTCCATTCCTCCCTTCTTCCCTTATTTTTACATGGTCTATGTTTACCCTTACTGTTTTGCAAATAATGTATACATATATGTGTTTGTAAAAGCGTAGGTTATGAACAACCCACAGCACGTCTCAGTGACTTGGTACAATTTTATTTTTACTGTAATAAGTCTAACTTGGTCAACTTCTGTCACTCAGATGTACATAAACATCAAAATGCTGTCCTGCTGTTTACTGTTCGTTGCTTTATGTGCTCTTAAAAATGAAGCTATTCTGAGCCAACAAAACCCAGTTAGAAATGTATCCTCTATACACACGGGCAAAAGCACCACAAAATCATCCAAGGATGTCCATTTCAGCACTGTTTTCAGTAGCAAAATTATTGGAAACAACCTGAATTGTCATCAGGATGACTGATGCTAGCTAAATATGTTATGATCATAAATTGTTAAATGTGCGTTATGGTAACACCCTTTTCCTGCAGTATTGTTCAAGGTATATTTTTCCTCTAGGTAAAATGTCAGCAATTTGTATATGGTATTTTTTTTTTAATCTTTAGGTCTGTATTAACTATGATGACAAGTGAGTGTATGTTAGTCCCACTAGTACGTACACACTTGTTTCTTCTTGAAATTTGACTCACATGTCAAATTTCAAATTCGAGGATTCACAGATTGAATGCATAGTACAACAGTAGATAGGGCTTATAATTAGGAGACAGTTTAGATTCCCTGAAATTTCTGGATTCGCTGTGGGTGGGGAGATACCGCTATTACCAGTTCAAAGTAAAAAACGCCAATATTCTGTTATAGTTTTTGGCTAAGAATATACTTCTCATAGTGAGCCCTTGGGGAATATTTTTCTTTTCTAGAAACTAAAAATCAAAGAGTGCTCATTAGCTCATAATGGACCTTCAGTTTGATGAATTGACCCTGTTTCTTAAGAAGCCACGATTTAAAAACATTCTTGACCTTATGTACCTTACGCAATCATAATTTTTCTTCTTATATTTCCCAAGACTCTATCTCTGATCTTGCACACATGCCCCTGTGATAGTTTCCCTTACCTTAACATAAATGTCCACGGGAGCCAAAAAAATGTACGTGCTAGATGAATCTCATACAGGCTCGTCACCTGGTCAGTACTGCCCTTAAGCAACACCCTAGATATTGCAGATTTTACTGTGACTTTTACAATTGCTGAAGTGGCAACATAAAATAGCCAACGCAAATGAAAATAGACTGTAAGAGTTTAAGACTTCTTTAATTCAGGGTAGCAGCTTTCTCTTTTCTTATGCAATAGCTACTGTTTTCTCTTAAGGAAAATATGTGACAATAATGCACAACACCATTATTTATTATTATCCTTGTCTCTACTATCAGAAAAACAATGTGAACAGCATATCAGCAGATAGGATTAGCCACTCATGCTCTACCAAACTGGTACTTCTATTTGAGAGGACAGTGTTTAACTTGTTGCTTAATCAAATCTATGGAATAGCGAATCTCCATAGGGTAACAAGTTCTAGATTTGTGGTTACTTTCCTACCCACGAAATAAAGCTCTTGTACATCTTGTTACTTTCCCATGGACTGATTGAAAAAAGAGGGTAAGGATGGTTTGCCTCCCCCATTGGATGTATCTGAAACCTGGGCTATATTTATAGTCAACCTGTTCTTTTGAACAATTTGTCAAAAGTCAGAGGAGTTCAATAAAATTCATATCATCTTATTTCCAAAACAGGATGCATTCTGTTAGGACTCTGTTGCTAGTAGTATTTGGATTAACGTTAGATGGGAATAGTGCCCTGCGTTTGAGTTGAGCAGTAAGACAAGCATAGTTCTGCTCTTGCCACTGTTATTAGTGTTAAATGCCGACTTTATCTGTTCCAGATATCATGCTCAATGTTCTAAACAGTTTAATCCCTTTTCCATAGGCGAGCCAGACGCCAAGATGTAAAGTATGGAGACCCGATCACCCAGTGCTGGGACATAGAAGACAGTAAGTATAAGTTTAATATGCTTTTCTCCCATTTAAAATGTTAAGCCTAGTTTTTGTGTGCCTTTTTATTATATGACTTAAAATATCTATTATATGGGAAGTTCTCATTTTATATAATGCTTATGTTCTGGAAAAGCAACAGGAGATTTTATCAATCAACCCCCTGTCTACATGCCTAAGTGAATAATCCTTTGTTATATCATTATTTGTATCATATGTCTTTTAAAATTCCTATCCCTTTTTTTTTGTATTTTTTACTGCCTTACCCATCCTCATAAAGTTTGAAAACTGCTAATAAAGATAAAAGAGGATATAGTCCAAAACATATGGACATTCAGAGTAAACTCAGAGACCCTTCCAGAAAGGTCTGATGAGAGTGTAGCACTTGTTAGAAAGTTTTAGGTAGTGTATGCATTATGTGAATTTGTGTATTAATTCATGTTTTCATTCAATCAGTAAATGTTTATTAAGTGACTTCCAGGTGCATATAATTGTCCTGGGTACATGTTGAGACAAAGAAACTCCTTCGAGAGCTTATAATTCTTTGGGGAGATGTCATAAGGCACAATTAGTGATATGGGAGTTTAGCAAAGAGAGACATCACCAGAAGCTGTCTTGTTCAGAGAAAATTTCATGGAAGATCTTGAGAGCCCGAGTATGACTGGGACAAAGTGGAGAATAAAAAGGAGTGAGTCTGATAACAGAGGGAAAAAAAATCTATAAGAGTATATTGCAAAATATCTATATGAAAAATTCCCCTCAAAAATCCATGAGTATATTCCAAAAAAAAAAATGTATAAGAATATATTCCATAGCTTTGGTTACTTTCCACTCTCAAGCTCTACCTTCAGAGGATATATGCTCACACACACGCATACACGCACTCAACTGGAGAAACGAAACTGCCTGCCCTCCATCACATTGTTAGTAACCACCCCCACGTTCCATAAACAACCCAATTTCATAGTCTATAACCAGTGACCCAGCAGCTTTGTAATTTAAACACAAAACAATTATTTATAATTTATAATTTCATTCTTCTGAAAAATAAGCTCTGGTCCAGAAGAGTATGTTTGACCTTGTTCTACTGCATGGGTGACTGCCTGTCGTGTCCAGTGTTTTATTTAGCAGGCGTTACCATGTGCAACCTACATGGTGTTTTCTCCACACCCGCGAGATGTTTCCAGAACAGTTACAAGTATTGAGGATATACCCGTGAATGAAAAAGAAAACAGTCTGTGCATCCATGGAACTTCTGTTCAAGTTGTGTCAGGGGAGGGAACAGACGGTAAACTTAAAAAGAAGTAAAATAGATGTAATGTCAGATAGTGATAAGTGTTGTAAAGAGAGTGATTCAAAACACAGTTCCTGCTGAGGGGGGAGATAGTGACTCACCATATCCTGTTCCTGCTGTGACCAACCACACACAGTCTCTGCCAATCATCACCATCACTGCCCCAATCCATTTTTTTTGTCAAGGTCTCCAGCAGTTCCTTCCTTGCCAAATCCAATGGCCAATTTTCAGTTGTCATTTCTACTTAATGTCTAACTCCCTCCTCCTTGAAACACATTCTTCATTTGACTTCCGTGCAGTGATGTGCTAGGGCCAGTTCTTAATGGTCCCATGAGAGCTGATGGCTTATTATTTAGGAATTGCATAAGCTGGTTTTAAACCCTTAGTAGCTTGGTTCAGCCAGAGTGGGAGTTTTTACACAAAAAAAGAACAAGCACTACAAATCAGGGTTTTTTGTTTTGGTTTGGTTTGGTTTGGTTTTTCCAAAGACATGGTGTCTCAGCATTCTTGGGCTTCATGCCCCCCCCCCCCCCCCCCCCCCCCCCCCCCCCCCCCCCCCCCCCCCCGCCACATCCTTCTGATTTTCCTCTCACTTTACAGGCTGCTCCTTCTGAGTGTTCTTAACTCTCCTTTGCATCCCACCATCTAAACGTAAAATCTTTGCCTGTTCACTGCCTAACACCATCAATTTCAATACTCTCCGAGGCAATTTGCTCCCAGATTCTTAGTCCGGTTCTAAACTCTGTCTTGTGTGCCAGACCACTTGTATGCCTACCCAAGAGCTCATCTTGGATGCCTAATAAGTGTCCCAAATGATCTATGAGAAAGAATTAGCGCTGTCTTTTCCTAAACGTCGTTGTTCTGCAGTGAAGACTTACCCATATTAATAAATAGCACCTCCATTCACCCAACTGCTTAGCAAAAAAAAGCAGCTAGGCATCATCTTTTTCTTCTTCTCTTTCTTCCACAGCCTAGTACCAACCTCACAATAAGTCCTTTTGGCTCTGTGGCCACCACTGCTCCTACTCTTCATCACATCCCGATGTGCCCGCTTACCCAAAGCCACCACGCCTGTCCCGGAGCCGTTTATCTGGTCCTCCTGCTTCCGTTTTTTCCCCTGGTCAGTCTCCATCCCACTTAGTAGCCAGAGTAACCTTTCAGAAACTACAGTCAGATAACAGCTTCTCTTACTCAAAATCTTTCACTAGCTTCTTAGAACAATTAGTGAAAAACCCATAGCGTTTACCATGGCCTCTAGAGTCTGCCTGATCTAGTTCCTGATACTTGCTTGGATCCTCTCGTTTCACTGTTGCATGGCTCGCTCACTGGTTTCTCTTTTTCAAAAGCCCCAGTCTTGTTCCTGCCTCAGCTAGGTTTGTATTTATTTCCTCCGTACCTACCTAAAGAACTCATATTCAGGTGTCACACCATTTTTTTTTTAATTTTTCTAATGATTATTTATTTTTGAGAGAGAAATGGAGTGTGAGCAGAGGAGGGGCAGAGAGAGAGGGAGACACAGAATCTGAAGCAGGCTCCAGGCTCTGAACTGTC